CGCTTAGCCAATTTCGAAGTATTTAGCAAACTCACACAGGGACACATGCAGCTACAGATACAGAGGACACTCACACACACACACACACACACACAGGGAGAGAGGCGAGGCGAAGCGGAGCCGCCGCACACCAACGCCCAAAAATGTTGACAGACAGACGGCAACAGCATGTTGAGGCAGAGGCAGAAGCAACACTAGAGGCCGGCAAAACCAATCTCCATGTTCCACACTCTCTGTCATCTCTCGAATTTCCATAGGCTAAGCCATTATCCTCATCAAAATGCATATAAACTAAACGTGTGGGGGAGCGAGGGAAGAGCAGCAACCCTTACTTAGCCTTGGACAGGGGATTCCCTGCCTGGCTTGGCTGGATCACAATTATCAGCTGCTGCTCGCAATCTGCCAATTCATCGTTCAGTGTCTTTTGGTTGCCTTTGTTGTTGCCCTTAATCTTTGTCATCTTTTCCAATCTCCGTTTTTTTTTCTTTTCCTTTTTCGGGGCTCTCTCCTCGCCGTCCTCACGCCCTTTCGATGCGCCAGAATTATATTTAGGGGTTGACGATGATGTTGAGATGATGTTCCCGGCTGCATCTAGCAGGATTTATCCCCCGGCATTTCAGGCAGGCCTGGCAACAATATTTTTTTGGCAAGCACGTAATGTGCTTGAGCCACCCTGTGCCTCAGCCTCCTCCCTCTGCCCTGAGCTCAGCCAGCCGCCCCCCGACCCTGCCCTTCCCCTCACTGTCCCTTGCTCCTGTACATTTTCTCTCGGTTTGGTACACCCACGAAGGCAGCAAAAATCAGGGAGTGGTCGGAGCGGTGTTCCCTTTTTTGCTTGGCAGCTTTTCTGGCCAAAAAGGATCCGTTTAGCCTAGCCATAAGTATCCTGTTGTTTTTCCTTCATATTTTTATGGAGCTTTTCATGTTTGAATCAAAGGTTTTTCCTTTGATTTTTCATGTGCAAAGTTTCGTGTTTCATTTCAAAATGTTTGATTCCGCCTCTCTCTCTTTCGCTGTACTCTCTTTTTGGTAACAAGCTCGCTCGCTCTCCCGGTGTCTCTCCCTTTCGCTCACTCGCACTGCAGATGCTACAGCATCCTTTATCCCTTTTTGACCAACACTCTCTCAACACTCTCTCTCTCCCACTCTCTCTCTCTCGCTCTCTCTCTCTCGCTCTCTCTCTGTGTGCATAGTTTGAGCTTTGAATTAAAAATGGAAAATTGATTTTTCCGGTTGCTCATATACACACACATGTACACAGATACATACAGCGCTGCCTGTGCGTGCGTGTGTGTGTGTGTGGGTTGAAGGATTTCATCAAGCCGGACTGAAAGAAAGTCGCTTTCGTGTGGGTGTGTGGGGGGTTTTCCGTACGTTTTTCCGCATCTCGTTGCCAATGGCGCTCAACAATGTTAATGCCCCGACCCAGCAGTAAGCTATAATTAAGTTACAATACTGCTGTGACAGGACAATATCAATGGCAAGCGCCCAATCTCTCTCTCTCTCTCTCTCTCTCGCTTTGTGTCTCTCTCCGCCGATCCATGTCGGACATATAATAACTCTCTTTGATGGATATCATCTCTCTATGCATTCTACGCATAGTTTTCATAGATCTTTGACACTTTTTTCACTTGCTAAAGGACACTTTTTGTTGGTTTTTCGTTTTGGTTTGTGTGCGAGTTGGGTTTTGGGTTCTTGGGGGGGTAAAATCGTTTATAGCTATGGAAGAGGGCTATCCAAAATGTTAGATTTCTTCGTTCCGTGATCCGTCATGGTGCCGGGAGAAATTGCACGTACGAAAACCAAAAGTTGACTGAAAGGCAACCCCGGGAAGCGGTCACCATCGTCTCGGTAGGTCCCTCGCTCGGTCGCTCGGTCGCTCGCTCGGTCGTCGTCGCTTTCGTCATCTTCTTTCGAGGGTTGTGCGCGCGCATATTTATTCCCAATTGCAAAACATATCTCCCCCAATTCTTAGGGATGGTTTTCCATGCACTATATCGCTCTCTGTTGCACTCACTGGCCCTCGCGGCTGTGTGTCCCGCTTCTGTGGAAATTTTGTAGAGCAGATTTTTGCGCTGTGTATAAGTCGCAGCTTCGAGGGTGGTTTCCAGTCAGCAGCGTTTCGGTTTCGTTGCGTTTTCGTGCCTTTCCAGTGCTCAAAAAGCCACCCCCTCGCCAGTCACCCCCTACCCTTAAGTGCTGTATATATGATGTATAGACTTTTCCAAGCGACGCGGACAGCAGAGCTCTCTCTCTCTCTCTCTCTCTCTCTCTCTCCGAGCTGAATTTATGCGGCGTTTCTGTGTCCTGTGTCGCCTGTCGTCGTGCAGTGTGCCGTGTGCCGTGTGCCAGCCAGTGCAGCACCCACCCCTCTTTGGAGCCATAAAAAATCAAATGTAAAAACAATAAAGTTACTCCATATGCTTTTAGCCAGCCTCCGGCATCGGTTGGCCGTGCAAGGGTTGTGCGCCAGCTCATTTTCATTTTGTATGGCATTTTCCTCAATGAAAATGTCGAGAGCAAAAACAAGATGAACTTTTTCTCCCACTCTGCAAGCTCTCTCCCACTCTCTTTGCTCGCTCTTTGAATTGCAGTTTTGTATCTACATAAATTTGATGCAGCTGAAAGCGGTGCACAGGGCAAAGGGCAAACGACAGGTGGAGAGAGGAAGGAGAGAGGGAGACGAAGAGCGCAAAGCCATGCAATTTGTTGCTGGCATTTTTCGAGTGTTTTTCCGTTGTTTGTGGGTAGAGGAGGAGGCGGAGGCGGATCCGGCTTAGTGGACACTGCAAATTGTATTGCAATTTGTTGTGTGGCCTGGGGGATTGGATGGGTAACCAGATTGCAGATTGTCATTGAGGCGGATGTGCGGATTAGAAAGTATTTTGTCGTAGACAAGCCGTGTAAAAGAGTCGTAAAGCAGCCAGCAGTCGTCGTCGGAGTCGTTCAGGCGAAAGGAATGGGACAGGAGCGACCGAAAGGAAGGAAGGAAGCGCATCCAGGGAATGCGATTGGTGATGTCAAATGTTGAATAAATTATGATGATTGCTTGGGCTTGTGCTGCAGCAGAAGCTGCTTCACTTCTCTTTCTCTCCGTCTTCGATTTTATTTGTGCAAACATTTTCGAAGGAGCACTTTGAAAGTGGATTAGGTGTCATTTCCATTGATATGCTGCTTAGGGAACTGTTTTGCTTTCAATGAGTTTAATTTATGGCCATTAAGCAGGGTCTGCAGGTATTCCCAATAGCCCTTTTGGTGTGTCTATCCTTAGCTCAGGGGAATAATTTGTGCAAAACTATTTAAATATTTCACTTTACTTCGGTTCGGACGCCTTGTACTATTTTATAAACATTCTACACCCCTGGAAGCTCGCCACAAATTTCGGATTTTTTATTCGTCTTCAGTCTAACTTTTCTTGCTTATTTTCCCTTTCTAAGGAACACGATCAGCTGCTCCACCCTACAGTTACTATTATTTTATTTATTTCTCTCTCTCTGTGTGTGCCAAACATATTTCCCTGTTCCACTTATCATTTCATTATCAAACTGTAATGCTGCCCATACTCAATCAATTCCAAATATTTGGCTAAATCATCATGCATCTGTCGCTGGTTAGATTTTTGCCACAAACTCAATAACTAGAACCCCACGGGCACTTTTACTTCTGTTTGCCACTTCCTTCGAAATGGTTGCCTTAGGGCGGGGTGGCTTCTGTTCTCTTTCCGAAATATCCAGTAATATTTTTCGCGTTACCTTGTTTGAGGACTAAGTGCGCCATTAGCTCGATGGGTAGGGAAGGGACTGGGGCCATAAAAAGATGGATGATGACTCGTGCTGTCGTGGCCTCTGCTGTTTATTTGACGCAATTAAAATACGGCGGGGGAGCGCCGTGGACTGAAGGAGCGTATAATAGAGGTAGATAGAGGGGGGACGGCGCTCTAAGTTCTGCTAATCGAATTACATAGACATATTACATATGTACATATGTAAGTACATATATGTATGTATGTATGTATGTACATGTTTGCCGACTGCTGATGTCATCCAGGGAACATCATCATTTCCGCAGGTCGTCTCCCCCTACCCAAGGACACTGCTGCAACCCCCCCCCAATCTCACAGGGACACGCCAGTTTTGAAAGGCTTCTTTAATATTCCATTTTTCTGGGTCAGTAGCCATAAAATTGACAGACGTCTTCTGCCATTGAAAAAGAGAACAGGGAAAAACGTATATGTACGCTGCTGGCGACTGGAAACTCCTCTCTGCCTAACACCGACACTGCCAGCAGGAGTTCAACAACCGAAACTTTCACACACTCACACACCCATGGCAGTCCACGTCCACCCCTTCCAACCCCATCTGTGGGCAAGCGCCTGCTTGCTGCTTGGCTTTCAACATCTTCATTGAATTATTTTGCAATCTATTTTAATAAGTTTCATATCCTTTGGCATTGTTTCCCCTCGGCCAAAAATCAATAACGCACGGCGTCCTGCGTCGGCGTCGACGTTGGCGTCGAGTTTGTTTTTGATTGCAGACGCACACACCGCCACCTGGTGGCAGGGTGAACAAGCTTCAGGTTCGCCATGTAGATACGAAGTCATGTTACTTTCAATGTAAATATGACTAGTTCCAACTATGACATCATGGAGCGCCACTACTTCTTACGCTGAAATGAAAAATATTTCTCACACTTTTGTGATTCCCCCCCTGAATCCATCTCCTTCAAACCTTGCTTCTTCCTGTTGTTGGTTTTTACTTTTGCGGCTTCCTTCCTGGCCACTTGAGTTACAATGAAAATAAAAACAGGTTTATTTTTCATGTGTAGAATGTCCTGTGGGACAGACCTGAAGTTTTATTTTAAAATGTATTGCGCTTTCCCGTGGCTTCCCCAGCTGAATTCTAACTCAATGCTTCGTTTAAGATGATTATCAGTAAGATCTCCACGCGGAACTCAACGCCTCCGAATACGAAACTATTTTCAGCTACTTCTTCGTTTTTTTGTCATCTTCTGTGGGGTTGGGTATGATGGATTAGTGCGAGAATTCTTATCAGCGCTGCCTTGCAACCATCTATAACCCCTTTTTAAATAACTCCCGCATATACGGCACCGGCAGCGGCCGCGCCGAGGGCAACACTGGTAAGAGCGACATGGGTTGCGATCTTCTTGCCACTAATGCCCCCGCCACTACCTTTGCCTGCCTTCGCGTCATCTGGAAAAGCAAAAAGGAAATAACATTTTCTCATGAAGACTCTCAGGCACCGTGGCGAAATGGAAGAGAGAGTTGCAAGGAAGCGCTGAAAATTCATTCATTCGTGGATTGGATCTTACCCGAAGGACCATTCGTATTGCCCTGCAGGGCCTCAATCAGTCCAGGTGGAGTCTCATATTTCTGATTGTATGTCAAGAACTGTTGGCAGAGAGCAATGGGTATTAGAGTCTGGACTCTAGAGGAATTACGATGGTGGGGGCTCCACCCACTCACCTTGCGGTTGGGCGCGGCATAGCCCTTACGGGTCTCCACAAACATGCAGTTGCCCGAGTTCTTGGTCCACCACACATCATCCCGGGTGACGGCAAGGCGAATCCAGGTCAGTACTTCCAGGGTAAATCCAACCAATGTGATGGCAACAACTGGAACTGCCTGTGGGATTAAATGAAATCTTAAGAATGGATAGCTTCAGGTGGTCGAAGGTGTGATAAGTACAAATTATTTTGTGTATAAATGCACGCCATTCTCCTATCGTAAATCATATCTATATTATTTGAAATATAATTCAACTGTAGGACTACAGTTAATTTTGAAAATGAGTAGTATAAGGTTTGTTATATTTTTGAGGGTCATGCGGTATATTTTATTTCGATAAATGCGCGGGTACCAGCAACATGCTGCGAAAGTGAGCGGCACTGTTTCCAAACATTTGGCACGAAATAAGCAACATTTAGTACCCTTGGAGGAATGGATAAGCTAGAGTTGAGGAAATTTGGAAAGTCTCTGGGACCAATCAATGCAAAAACAAATCACACAATGTTGTGAGCCATCCAACGAAATGTTGCAGATTATAGATACCGATAAACAGAAGATCAAAGTCGGGGAAAGTGATTTTATATTCACAGTATGTTTTGAAAATGAAAGGACATATTTTGGTATATTTTTAAGGGTCATGCGGTATATTTGATTTCGATAAATGCGCGGTCCCTCTGCCGACAATTTTCAAACGATCAACAACCGCGGCAAAGACAACAACCAACAACAAAAAACAGCAAAAATAGTGTCGAAAAAATTAGTTGCCCCCAACATTACTAACAAACAAATATTTATATATATCGCTATAACAAAAAATATATTGAACAACCCTACGGCGCAGTCGCAACCGCAGGACCACAGTGAAAAAGGGGAAGCGAAAGAAAGAAGCAAAAGCAAACGCAAATAAATTTTCAAGTGTCGTGCCGAGAGAACATTTCGCTACCGTTGTTTTAGTTGCAACTATTAACATTATATTCGCATTAATTCGTGTTCTTGTTGAAGTCGAATACATAAACCCGAAAAAACAAAACTCCCAGCAGGCATTGCCATTGGCAACAGACAGAAGCATAGACGAAAGAAAACGTAGTCAAGTTAGTGCTAGAAACCCCACAAACAACTGGAGGGCTAGGATCCTTTCGGTCGCGAAAAAAAAGATAAAACGTTCACCCCAACGGCCTTCAAGATTCAGCTGAAGCAGGAAATGCACGCGCTGCAGGAAGGCGCCACGATGCTCCACCATGCGGCTCCGCCGCCTCCGGCTGCGGTCCAGCCACGCGAGGATCTACTCACCGCCGATACCTTCTTTTTTGCCCGCAGTAATCCTATGGATAACGCTGCCGCAGCGGCAGCAGCAGCTGCCGCCGGTCTCATTGATCCACACCATCACCATCCTGATCTGCACAACGCCCTGGTCGCCTCCATAGCCAACAACAGTGTGGCGGCCATTAACGGCACCCTGACCACGGCCGCTGTGCTCAAGAGCGCCGCCGCCGCTCAGCAACAGCAGCAGCAATCACAGGTGCAGCAGCAGACACAGGGTTCCATAGTGGTGCCTGGCCAGGATCAGGCCCAGGTCGCAGCACAGAACGCCGCCAACGGTGGCGGAAATCCACAGCAGCAGCATCAGGTCGCTGCCCAGCAGGCTGCCCTGGCGCTGCTCAAGGAGAATGTGAACGCATCGTCGGCCGGACAGAACGGTAGTGGCGGAGGGGGGGCCAATCTGAGCAACAAGAGCGGCTCCTCGGGTCGCTCCACTCCCAGTTTGACTGGCGGCAGTGGCTCAGATCCGGCTCCAGGCAAACTGTTCGTGGGCGGCCTCAGCTGGCAGACCTCATCCGACAAGCTGAAGGAATACTTCAATATGTTTGGCACCGTCACCGATGTGCTCATCATGAAGGATCCCGTCACCCAGGTAAGCAGAATGTAGTCTATGCTGGTATTTTCTATTATATTTCGTTGTATTACTATTCTGTATGTATGTATCCTATCCTATCCTCCTATTTGTCCTCACATTCTACGTCTATTTTTCTACCTTTTTCATAATCTCGTCTCCTTCGGTCGCATTGTTCGTCGTCGCAGCCTGTTTATTTGCGTTTTACGTCGTTTGCACAGATTTTCTGATTTACAGCTACAGTTTTTGGTCGTCTGCTTTTGTCGCTTTCTATCTCCCTCTCTCTTTCTCACGTGGTACCTTTTGCACAGCTGCAAAACTGCAAACTTTTGTCTGTCTGTTCTTCTCTCTCCCTCTCTCACGCACAATCGCTGTGTCTCCTCTGCTGCTGCAGCCCCAGAATCAGAGGTTTAGAATTACAGTTTTTTTTCGGCTACGTGCCAAAAACAAAAGACAACGATAAGAAAGGAAGAGAGAGAGAGAGGAGCGAAAGTCTGGTTTTATATGCATATCGTGTAAGATGAGAAGATTATACGGGAAGCTGTAACCTAGCACTATTATTGAATATTAATATTTTGCTTTGTCTTGCGGCAATCAGCTGTTACCATCCAGTGTGGCTGAAGTGTGGATAAGTATGGAAATGAAAAGGAATTCGGATTTACTACTCGAGAAGTCTGCAATTTGAGCGAAATAAATCAACTAAAATGCATTTGTAGACATTTGACAGGCAGTTCACATTCAAATTCAATGAAATTGAACAACAAAAGCGTTAGCTGAATGTTTCTTTACCTGAACATTCCTTACATAATTTATTGTACCTTTGAAACGTTTAAAAATGTGACTGATATTTTATGTAGGTACATATTTACATGCATACGGAAATGGGTTTTCAGAATGCATTAATGCATTAAGCAATTTGTCCGCTTGATAAGCGGACAATATCCACACATCCTGTACCTATAGTATGTACATTCATAGGTACATTCATACATACATAAATTCATTGTGGCTCCCCACCGATGAACTCGCGCCGCTTTCGGGCAATAAAATAGCAGCTGCCGCATTATGCGAGTCCTGTCCGCCTCGCTTGCGCGCAGCTGTTCCTCCGATCCTGGGATCGGTGGCGCGATTCAATTCAGGTTATGGCACAGGACAATGCTATACAAGAAGGTGGGGTCCGTCGTAGGCTTTAGGGTAGTTTCGCTGTTCGCGCCTGCTGCTGCCGCCTGCTGCTGGGCGAGAGAGCCAATTGCGCAATTACGGAACCGGAGGAACTACAACTACTTTCGGGGCAGTTTTTATTTGCAAGAATGACTATCATTGTGCCGCTTGACTAACGGGGTTGCTATCCTTCCGTCCGTCCGTCCGTTCTCACTGTCTCTCATACGTAAACGCAAGTAAACAAGGAATGACACAAACACACACACACACGTACACAGCAGCACACAAAAAAACACCTTTTGTTTCTTTCCCCTCCCCTTTAAAATAAGAAGAACACCAAACAAAAGAACGAAGTGGAAGAAAAAACAACAAAAAAGAAAAGATGAAAACTGGTTTACCAACTGTCTTTGGAGTTTGTGGGATCTAAGGGATCTCTAAGAGTCGGGCAGAGTCGTTTATGAAACGATCACCTGGTTGATTAGGGAAAGGGGATGGCCATAGATTTGCCGACCTAGTCTATAAGCATTTAAGATCTCTCAATTATATAGCTAGCCCCATGTAGTAAATCACCCATGCTACTAAACAAAACATAATTATAATCCACACACACACACACACCTAAAACAAAACCAAAGAAATACCAACAATTACCAAAAATGAACACCCAAAAGTGCGGAAGGACACCGTTGGAATTGGAAACCATCTGGAGAAGAGGAGTCGCAATCAACCAACCAGGATAATGATGATAATGATGATGATCCAATGCCGAGAGCCTGGCACTTAGGTACATTTCATACAAAACCAAAAAACCCTAAACAAAATGAATCGCCAAGTATCCTAACTACTGTATAAATGAGAACGTTTAGCGTACTTGAATTACTGAAAACTGCTGGCGCATCGTAACTCTCGTATTTCGTATAATTCTGAGCAAATCAAAATAATAATAACTGCATAACTGTACTCGTATCTCTAATTGAATGTACTCGATCTCTCGTACTCGTACCTCGTACTCCTCTAATCTGTACTCTGTATTATGTACTTGGTTTACTTTAGTGTTTCTCACCCAGAATAAAAACACCTCCACGCATTGATAGCAATCAAATATCTTGAAAGAAAATACAAAAAAAGAAAAACAAATAACGAGTAAATTTTGCCATTCACCACACCACAGTTATAAAAATTCCTAGAAATCAATTCAAAGTTTAGTTGAAAGGGGTTTACCCCAATAATACTATACCCACACCCCTCTCGATATCCTGACATAACAGCAAAATGGGAACCGAGAAGCGAACCAATATGAATCGAAGATTGTCCTGGCAACTGTTGAACTATTGATTGTGTAACATAAATAAGAACCATAGCCTTAGATGAATACCATAAAAAATAATACATATGTATATTGTAATACCTCCGCCGTAATCGTTAGTTCTTATTATATATAAATGTATAACTTTTTAACTTAATGCGAAATTGTTTCTGTGTTTAGTTTTTGCTTTATAATTTTTGGTTTGGCATATAAAATCCATATCCATAAGCATACCATGTATATTTTTATTTAGTTGTGTAGTTCCGACTGTTTCTATGGTTTTTTTAATGTTAATGGCTTTTAAGTTAAATGGGCTCCGTTTCCACCTTATACCCCCATTGATTGGCCGAAAGGAAATATAAAATTATGCTTAGAATCTATCCCATAGTGCAAAAATAAAATTGAGTTCGAATCGAGAATTCTAGGATATAATCTGTAGATAGTTGTTTAATCCCCACCCGTCCGACCCATCCCGATAATCCAAGAATTAAGGGTATTTCCATGGAAAATTATGAATTAATTTAACGGTTTAAATTACTACTTACTATCCTACTATATTCGTTAGGTAGGTAGTCCCATAGTTTTCATCTCTCTCTCTCTTTCTTTATCTCTCTCTCTTTCCCTCTCTGGATTAATGTACTTAATAAATTGTATCTCAACTGCCCTAGGCTTAAGCGATTATTGTATACTCCCATTATATTGTAATATATGTAATGACTGAGAATTATTAATTAGTTTAAGCAGCAAAGATCATACATTCCAAAATCTCATTATCTGTAAAAAAAACTAAGTACAATTTAAGTAAAACTAACAGATGAAAAAACCAAATACATAAAGTGTATGGTAAAAAACCAAAAAATTATACGAAAACCGTACCATTATATTAGAAAACTTACTCGAATATAGCATTCCTAATCGTTTCTACTTAACGTATTTCTTAAACATAGTGCGATTTAAATCTATAAAAAAACGAGTGTATCCTTTTGTTTATCGGAACATTAGTGGAGTGTATTAACCTCTTTTTCATCTTTTGATGAATATTTAATACGAGTTTTATAGCTCTAAAGCGCACTGCTCCGTACTTATCAATATATATATATGTATTATTATCCACATCAACCATACATATGTAATTGACACATACAATATATACAAACACATAAGCCTACTTTTATATACCTTAATTAACACTTGAGTTGAGTTTCGTATACAGAGATGAAAAAGCGGTGAAGAAATCTTTTTGGTATAGAGTTTCGTGTATATAGAATATCTACTACTGTCACTCCCACATTTACAATTCCTGGGCTTTTAGCGGGGCCAAAAACCATATCGTAATACTATTTCAATGATATACGTATGTTCCAGCTTAGCAAACGATCGATCTCTACATATAAATATATTTTGTTAACAGAGCAAAAGTATCTTTAGAGCGAACTATTATAGTTTTTAGTTGAAATATATATTTTGCGTTGTTCTTTTGGAATTAAATTGAGTTGACACTTGTTTTTACGTTATTTTACTCGAGCAAAAACAAAAACTAAAAGCATATTTGATGCGAAAAGCAAGCGTATAAAATGGCCATGCCCAATTCAGTCGATTAAGCCCATATACATGCATACTATATATTGTATCTGTGTGTTTACATATACATTTATATATATACTAAATATACATATACGTTTTTATATACGTTGTGGAAGATCGAGACCTTGATCGATCGATTGATTCATACTTTGTTGGACTTTTGCTAACGTTTCGTAGGAACTTTTACGACTATTAATCCTAGCTATACTATAATAATACATTTTGCAACTTAGTCCTTAGCCGCCTCTAACCACAGCTCTCTCTCTTTTATCCTTGACCCCAAAATTATTCCCCGTGTGTGCTAACCTCTTTTCGTGTTCTCTTGTCTTTCTCCCTCCTACAAAAACGACAACTTACAACTTACAGCGCAGTCGCGGCTTTGGCTTCATCACATTCCAAGATCCCTGCACCGTGGAGAAGGTGCTCAAAGTGCCCATTCACACGCTCGATGGCAAGAAGATTGATCCTAAGCATGCCACTCCTAAGAATCGACCCCGTCAGGCCAACAAGACCAAGAAGATCTTTGTGGGCGGCGTCTCGCAGGACACCTCGGCCGAGGAGGTTAAGGCCTACTTTGCACAGTTCGGACCCGTCGAAGAGACGGTCATGCTAATGGATCAGCAGACGAAGCGCCATCGCGGCTTCGGCTTTGTGACCTTCGAGAACGAGGATGTGGTGGATCGCGTCTGCGAAATCCACTTCCACACAATCAAGAACAAGAAGGTCGAGTGCAAGAAGGCACAGCCGAAGGAGTCTGTCACACCGGCCGCTCAGCTGCTACAGAAGCGCATCATGCTCGGTAGCCTGGGCGTACAACTGCCCACGGCCCCCGGCCAGCTGATCGGAACACGTGGAGGTGGACTAGCCATGAATCCCCTGGCCATGCTGCAGAATCAGCAACAGCTGCTGCAGTCTCCGGCCTCCGCTGCCCAGCAGGCCGCCCTCATATCCCAGAATCCGTTTCAAGTACAAAACGCAGCTGCCGCCGCCGCCTCGATGGCCGCCAATCCCGCGAACTTTGGCAAACTGCTAGCCACATATCCACAGACTGCGCTGCAACATGTCAGGTGAGTGTTCCTCAAGAATTGACCCTGAGCTGGAATGAAGCTAATGAAATCTCTCCTTGAATAGGTATGCACCCTACTCGATCCCCGCCAGCGCCGCTACTGCCAATGCCGCCTTGATGCAGGCCCATCAAGCGCAGAGCGCCGCCGTCGCTGCCCACCATCAGCAGCAGCAGCAACAGCACCAGAACCAGCAACATCAGAACGCCCACGCCATGGCCGCAGCGGCCCAACATCAACACCAGCAGCACCAACAGAACCACCACACTGCCGTTGCCGCCTCAAATTCCGCCTCGCAGGCTCACTCCGCCGCAGCGGCCGCTGCCCTGGCGGCCAATGCCGCGAACGGAGGTGCCGCTGCTGGTGCCCACAGCCTGGCAGCTGCCCAGCAGGCGGCACTAGTGGCCGCTGGTGGAAATCAACTGAATGCATCTGCAGCTGCCTTGGCAGCGGCCGCCAATCCGGCTGCCTACTCCAACTACGCCCTTGCCAATGTGGATATGTCCAGCTTCCAGGGCGTCGATTGGAGTGCCATGTACGGCATGGGCATGTATGTCTAAGCTTAGGAAGAGGGTTATGTTTTTTGGTAATTTCAATGAAACCCCCTAGTAGTAGCTCCCATTAAAACATACATACATACATACATCCACCCATAACACACTCACACTCATCGAGAGACACTCATCTGAAGTTGGTTTTCCTTTGAGTTCCGCTTAGATCGTAGAAAGATCGGATCTCCTCCCCCCACGCAGCAAAGGGGGCGGGGCATATTAAGTATTATATTTAAGGCGCTCGAGAAGGCGCTCAATAAATATTATAACTAATATAAATATATATATATACATAAACAACTCATAAGCAATATAAGCAAACAGCAAGTAAAACAAAAAACAAAAAAATTTAAAAAAGATAGGAGAGAAAAAAGCAAAGCGAAATCAAGGAAAAACAAAATTCAAACCAAAAAGCAAAAATTACGCAGAAAGGAAAAGAAACAAAAAAAAAACACATTAAAAACCACCGATTGTGATTGCGTTTAAATGTAGCCGTTACTATATATAATTTTTTAGTGCATAAAATACAAAAAACAAAATCATTAAACATTAAAAACTAAATAAGAACATAACATTAAACATAAAAAACAAAATTCAAAGCTTAAATTTAAACATAAAACAAATGCATATTTATAAATGAAAGCAAAAGCAAGGCATGATGAATATTATAACAAAGCAAAAGAAAAACTAACCATAACGAAACTAAAGGCGCTCCCTAATTGATTATGTATTTTATTTTGGAGGCCTAAAACTCAACGAAATAATGAAAGAAGAAACTCCTGCGAATGCAGTATTAATTACATTTTGCTCAAGACAAAAGAGTTATAAATTAATTAATATACATAAACACATAACTAACTAAAGCAAAACATACTCACACACACACTAAGCATAAACTATTATTTTTAGAGGTTTAGTTTAGTTATTGAATTCGAATTTAATTCATCCCCCAGAGAAAACTCACACTCAAACATCACCATAAACACACCACATAAAAACACACACTGCATCTACTGTCCCCCCTATCCTATCCTACCTATCTTAACTCTGTTCTGTGTACTTAATCATCAATACCTATTAATAATAATAATACTACAACAAACAACGAACAAATCTCTGATGATTTGCGTACTGCGTGTGTGAATCTCTCTCCCACTTTATTTGATTTGATTTAGTTCATAGATCTAGTTTAGTCTCGAATTAAACTCGAAGTCCCCGAGCATTTGTAGAAGTTCTATTATCGTAATCATTTTTTGGCATTTGAATACAATGATTTTTGGATGAGTTTGATGTAGTCTGTATTTTGGAAGACGGAAGTGCTCTCGAAACAGCAACAACAAATACCTAGGGCAACCACTACTAATATATCTCTTTGTATTTTCCATATTTTCGACTTCTAATCTATCAATCTAACTCCCCCATCCCACTCATAGACCAGGTAAAATCTCTAATTTTGTTGTAGTTTATTGTTCTATCAATGGCACAATATTAGTTTTAAAAAAATATTATTTTGTAATTATCTTTACCTGTAGCATTTGCATTTGAGTTTTGCATTCAACCAATACTTCATCCATAGACAAACAAATAACCAAACAAAACAAGAAAGAAGCAAGAAAGAAAAATATAAATGAAAAAGGAATCCATCCGGAGATATTGAAGCTCCTGGCTAGCTATGTATTTGTCATTTATATATATATATATTTAATTCGCTTGCATGAAGTTTAATTTAGTTTTTAGTTATCATTTTGGAAAGTAATATTTGCGTATGTAAATACCTAGTTTATATACTACATTACACCTACACACACACACAAAACACACACACATTATATTGAGATACATTTGAAGTAATTTTGTGTTTAATAAAAAAACAAAGAAACAGAAAAAAACCGAAAGCGAAATTTTGCCAACGATTTCGAGCAAACCATTTGTGTTTTCTTATGATTTGATTTTGGTTCGATTGTATATATTTGTTTATCCACATACAATTTATATGTATCGTTAGCTATTATTTTTATTATTTGACCCTCTGTTGTATCTGTTGTACTTTGCTGTGCTCTGCTCTCTCTCTCTATGTCTCTCCCTCTGTCTATCTCTGCTCCGCTCCTTCACCCATGTGTAGAAACAATCCAGTACAAAAACAAACAAAAAATCAAACAATATTGTGGATCGTTTATATGTATTTACATCCCTGTTCTTGTAGTTTAATGCCTGGAGGAGGGGTGAGTATTGTTGTATGTATTATCATTTCGTATACCAAAGATATTGAATATTAACCGAAACTCTAAACTCATTTCACCCATTTGCTGGAAGGATTAGAGACTCGTATCCCAATCCCACCCATCGACCCATATCCACAGGCAGCTACTTATTTATTAATTTATTTATTGTTTAACGCTTAAGACTCTTAACGCATTCCACACGTGCTATGGTGCCATTATTTACTTAACAATAATATTTATTATGATCATGTTTTTTGTACACACCTCCTGCTGTCAGATCTCGATCTCAGAACTAACATTGCTTTTAGCCTAAGATTGCGATTGTGTCCTGCCAATCGAACGAAATTATGCAAAACAATTTATCTCTTTTTTACAAAACGAACACACACAACCAAACACACACACACACATTGATTAAATATGTATGTTCTATTGACATATATTTTATATGAAAACAGAACCAAAAACCAAATAAATTTATATTTATATTTGATTAATGCATTTTCGATTTATTTATATTATCTGATAAACGCAAGAAGTCAAAAAATGCTCTCATAGTTGTAATAAATATTTGAAGAATTACAATACTCTCGTATAGTACTTAGTATCATTTGTACCTTTCGTATTTCGTATTTGCTTCAACCATTCATTCAGCATTTAGCAGTGGCGGCCGGCCAGAGAGTGTGTCTGTCGCCCAATTCTTAGCTCTTTGTGCTCGTAACAGTTGCCACAATCTCAGTTCGATATAAGCAACAACAAAATATACAACATCCTACATCTTACTACTACTATAATCCAATGAAATGTTTTTTTTTCTGTTCCATACTCGTACCGAAAATTTACCCAAAGTAGTAGCTTGCTCATTTTGATAATGTATAGTAACAGATCGAACATATGTACTTATTATAGCCGCTCTCTCTCTCTCTCTCTCTCTCTACATATATATCTCTTTGAATATATACATATACATATTCTATATATATTTTTTTGATAACCCAAACAAAACTCAAATAGAATCGGTAACTTTTCTTGCTATGTTTTAGTGTCTCGTGTAGCGTCGCCAAGAGTTTCCTATATATTCAATGCAAAAACCAAAACCAAAAACCAACAAGCAATATAAAGTTGATTTTTCATTCATTACTCATCGGGCCAAGAACAACAACCACTTGATGTAATATAGACCAACATTACACACCTCGAATTAGAGTTTAATTTCATTTAGTTTCCCTTACAAACAGACACACACACACATACAACATAGTTATACATACCAACATAGATATCTGTATACATAAATATGGAGCAAAAGCATGATGAAACATGTTCAGTAGTCAATTGAGTAACTAACATCTTTTATACTATAAACTCTCGTATACAACTACAACAGGAATTTGCAAGAGTATGCATAGTACATCATCATACTATATCATCTCTCTCACAGTTGTGTAGAAAGACCGAAACCCAAGTCCCGCATTTAGCAAGGCATTAGCATTTACATACTCGTGTGTACATACTTACATATGTACATCAAACATACTCGTACTCACACATACATCATATGACAATAAGATCAACTGTGTTTCAGCATTCAAGTGTCAGTATTCGTAAAGTAAACCAAATTACCTAAAAAACTGAGCAAAGTACTTATACTTATACTACATATAAATGCATATATACATACATATGTATATGTACTATGTACTATGTACAAATCGATAAGGAATGATTCCATTCCGTGGATTCGCAGTTTTTAGCAATTTGTATAGTCGGGTTAGATAGTGTTGAAAATGTTCTCTCGATCAAACTCAAGAGAGGCGAAAAGGAAAACTTTATAGATATTTACATGCATATAGTATATACAGATTAAAGATACAGATACATATACATCTATATACCCATACAGGCGATGATATTTAGAAAGACCGTGATATATTCAATTAGTAAAACCAACAAAATAACATATATATATTATATGTACATATATATATCTCGATTGTAGAATTGAGACATCGTCTCTCAAAATGTGTCAAATTGCATACTAAGAGTAGAATTTTTTGGTACTTATACGACGTATACTCCGTACGTACACAAAAAGAAAACATTTCATCAAATAGAAATTGTTGTGAAGGCTACTAAAAACCACGCATATCACTTGGATTGGATATTGGATGGTGTCATCGAACGAAAGAGTTTTCAAATAAAAATGATACTACCCCATTAAAACCGAAACCCAAAAACTCTGTTAAACCGTGTAAGAGGACCTCTTTAAGGATGAACCAACACAGGAAACGAGTTTTCTTTTTGTGGATATGGTTTTTAGATTAATACACAACGAAAGTCGTGTTGATTTCAGTGACCAATGAGGACCAAATTTTTTAGCGGAATTCCAAAAGTCAGGTTATTAGATCCTAAAAAAAAAACAACAAAAACGAAACTGATAACGAAATCGAAATAGTTTAACTAATTAGTATATTTTCAGTTGACAACTTGGCATTTTTTGGCTTCTTGTTTATTGTTTTGGCATTGTTATAGTTTTCTTATGAACCAAGCGCTATAAAAAATGCACCAAGACAACACAACACAACACAACACAACACAACAAACCAACACCAACACCCAACAAAACACAACACACTCTCAACAAGCTAGTCAATTGATGTGCATAGACACAGAACTAACACACTTTAAAAACTGTGACTGCAGGAAAAGTAAAAGTAAGTAAAAAGTGGAATATCAACAATAAACATTTAAGAAAAAGTATAAAAACCAAAACGAACGTACACAATAAATACTAAAAGCAATTATTTGCCCTGGTCTATGTCGGGAAAATATAAAAACAAAACAAAAACATACATATAACACATTCAAAATGCTCTGAAATAAAGTTTAATTTATTGAGAATTAGTTGTTAAGCTTAAACCTATGTCTAAGTGAACGTGTTTAATAATTTCGAAGCAATGCAGACAAGACAAGTGTATTCAAGGGCTTTGAACTATAATGCTATATATATTTATCAATTGCTAAAATTATACATAAATACTTGATATATTCTAATGATTAAGACAGAGGTGAATGGCGGCTATTTATGCTCATTTCAGATGCCTGACGAAATGCTAAAATCAAAGACAAAACAAGAGTCGTCAGTCATTCAGCGAATGAACTAATTTAAGTGTTAAGTGAAAACAAATTCAAATATACCAAAACTAAAAACAAAATATATATACATACTATATATTTAAACGAGAAACATGTTTTGATTACTTGATTATTACTTTTACCAGCTCGTAACATATCAATTATACTGAGCTATATTTTGAAAAAGAAAAGCAAATCGAAACGAACGAATTCAACACCAAGTTCAATTTTTATGCATTCATACAGCAGAGGATTTCCTTGATAAGTCGACAAATGAGAATGAAAATATTAAACTAAATATACAAATGTATGAAAAGATTATAAGCAAACCAGAGGTGAGTAAAACCAACAAACAAAATTCTTTTTAGCAGAAAGTTTATCCAGCGAAGCCTTGCTAAGAACTTTCCTAAAGGGCAAAATAAAAAATAAAAACAAATAAAAACAACTTAGACTCGTCTTCCAGCAACTAATCGAAATGACAAAAGTTCTTAAACCAAGAGTACTAACATGGAGTCAGACCTTGAGACAAATTTCGGGTATACCCAAAACATTTGAGTTGAATTTGAGATTTGGTTTGTCTAGCACCCAGTCTTATTTCATTGGGGAAAAAGGAGAGCTCAGCTTTTGGCGAAACTTCTTAGGCGTAAATCGATCAGTACAATTTTTGCAACGAGGAATTTTAAACGAACGAAACTAAAAACTACTAAAAAAGGGATGTAAAGGTTTTGATTTGGATTTTTATTTAAATTTTCCCCCAATATATGGTTTAGACCGAAGACGGAAAGAAAACATACTTTTCTTAACAAAACTGTTCCGGAATTTGTTTCTCCCCAGAAGTGAGGGAATGAGTTGAGGTACGAGAAAAACCAAACTATGTAAAAGATAAGCAAGTGCATTATATTGAACGATTTGGTAAAAAACATTTAAAAGTTTTAGCCATAAGTTTTCACATATACACATATATATGGGATATATATTTTAGGCCATAAGCAAACACCAGT